CACGAGGCCGACAGGGAAACGCAGATAACGATAACGATAACGATAACGATAACGGGTCCCAAGGTGGGTAGATCTGCGGCCGCAACGCTCTGGGGGGCCAAACGGCTCCGTGATTACGCCCTATAGGCTACGATCATTTCCTGATAACGAAAATACTGACGGGCTGTCAGGAGAGGGGGAGGAAAAGAGAGACTCCGTATATTATTCTTATATTATTATATGGAGTCGTTATTCATTTGTTTTAAAGCTCAATAAATAACAAAGAAGACCTTTGACCGGCACTTTTATAATTTTGTCCGGAAGATTTCAACTTTAACGGACATGTTGACCGACGAAAAGAAATTCTAACGGAAACTCTGCCGCACGGTTCCCTCACCTTTTGGTGTATTTTGTGGCAGAAGTACAACGCCACTTACAGGCCCGGCATATGTACTACAGCATCTCCAGCGGGTCGAGCGGTCTTGTGTGGACGGACACGTTCCTGGTGCCGATTGCGTGTGGACGGAAGACTTTTTTGATATCGAATTCGGTTCGTTTTCGTTACCGTCTCCGTGTGGCTATAGGGTCTAAATCTCTCTGAGTGCTTTGCTTCGCTGGGCTCCTCTCAGCTCATCCTATTAGGGGGGGCTTATAGAGCCTGGGAGAGAGGCATTCTGTGACCTGAGGGTAATAGGCAAGGTTGAGATACCACATCTGAAAATCTCTCTATTCACCATGGAGCTGAACTTTTTTTTTTCAGCCTCAAATGCAGACAGAATGTAGATGACTTTTGCTCCTGAGCTCCAGGCTATTAAACCCTGCACAGCAGGTATAACTCCCTGCTGACTCTAATATTGAGAGAGCAGAGGAGGAGATCTGCAGCTGTAGACTGAGGAATAGACAAATTTAGAAGAATGCTTCTGTTTCTTCTGACCAAACAGTCTCCTTTCCTACTGTCTTGTCTGAGTTCACCCTACAGAGCGGTGCAGTGATGAAGTATTTTTGTAGGCCGACCCAGAAGTTAGTATTGCAAGCGCTGCCTCGACAAAAACCAATGTAATTTCCCCATCGGTTTCCCTTATATATTGCAAATAAGCTCTGTGGCCAACACACGTTTATGATACTTAACATGTTTTGTTCAGCAGGATGATCTCCACGTATCAACAATACTTTATGATTTTGAAGGGTAAATACAATCGGCAAAAGCAAAAAAAACCTGAGTCAACAGGCATGGCTGATTTGTGTCTGCGTGATGAAATATAGTACTTAGTTTAGTCGTTTTACTAACACATAAGCTTCGAAAATTCACATGTGGAGTATTTACTGATATATTTCATTTCGTAAACGAAAACGTAAAAAAATCATAAGCTTGTGTTAACCACAAACCTTATATCAGGCTTCTAACCACAAACACACTGGAAAAACCATTGACATCGAGACGCGGGAGACTTAGAGTTGAGCATTATCAGGGGCACGTGGCTTCAAGGTGGGTTGCCGTCTCTTGTCTCTAGCTGCTCGATGTCTGCTATGCTGCAAGAGGCTCGGTCCGTCTACTATGACAAGCTCCTATGGCTCTACACATTACACCACTCGGGATAGAACATATTATTAAGACCAGAGATGGGGTCGTTACTAAAAAAAAGTAATATATTACATATTACATATTACTTTAAAAAAAAGTAATATATTACACTACTTCGTTACTCTCTACATAAAGTAACTCGTTACTTTACTCGTTACTTTACTCGTTACTTTACTCGTTACTTTACTCGTTACTTTACTCGCAGGGCCGGCCCGCCCCTCCCTGCAGGCAGATCACGCAGACTGCTAAAGTTTCAAATGTTCTCTTTAGTTCAGTTTCCATTGTCGCATAAGACTGATCCAGATAGCTCTGACCATGGCTGTCCTCTGTCTATCTGTATTTTGCGCAGTATATCTCTGAACGATGCGATGGTGATTCCACTGTGCAAATGGGCAACATTACCTCTACTATGAAGGATGCTACAAGCCTGTCCATCTCTGCTTTGGTTACCGGTCCTCCAAATTCTAATTTGTGCCGCTTCAGAGTCGGCGGCGGCGACTCACAACATCCTCACTCTGGGTTCGGGGGTCCTTAGCTATTAGCTTCACCTTAGCATGTGTTCTTTGCAGGTGTTTGTTGAGGTTTGACGTGGTGTTTACAGCAGTGGATAACAGCTTCTGGCCTGGACACAGTTTGCACCTCACCGTCACATTCCTGTCTATTCTTCGGACGAACTCAAAATAATGGGCATACCTCCACCCCTCGAAAGTTATCGCTGACTCAGCCATGTTTATGCAGCACTGTGGAGATGTGGACGCGCAAGTCGCGCAGATTACGTACATATAAACCTGCGGCGGAAACCCCTCTTGTCTGTCAGTGTGATTATGACTGATTTTATAAAAGTAACGAAGTAACGCGTGTCGGGGCAATGTTAGTAACTGTAGTGTGATTACTGAATTATAAAAGTAACGCGTTACACTACTCCGTTACCGACAAAAGTAATATTATTACAGTAACGCGTTACTTTGTAGTTGGGTGTAACGCGTTACTTTGTAACGCGTTACACCCAACTCTGATTAAGACAATACAGAATTATGTCACAATCAGTCTCTAGCCTACCGCATAGACAAACAGTTTGCTATGCATTTTTACTAAATGAACGGACAACGGTTTCCTCCGCTAGCTTGCAAAGTGAATGTAGCTACAGCTAATACCATCTGAAAGTGAAAATGAGGCCTTAGTTATGCCCTTGATTATAGTATACAGTATGTATAGTGCGTCATCTGAATCAAACCCTTTTACAAACTAAGATGATAACACAACAGCCACAAAACATTGTGCTATAAAATATTTCACCTAAATGATGCATATGGTTGTTTTCTGTCCTCACTACAATCAATGTTTCTTTTCTTTATCTCTGAAACCAACATGGCCACTGACAGAAAATAAGGAAGGATGTCCCATAGAGTAACCTCTACTGTCATTAAGAGAAAAATGTAGTGCTGAAATATTTCACAATGGTTCACAGCAGGAGAGACAGGAGAAGTGTCATCTCTGATTCTTAAATCCTATGGTAGGTGTGTCTCCTGCACAGTAGCTTCTGTTCTTAGATGAATACTCAGAGACTCAGCATCAGGGACTCTGAGCCGCCTGACATTTATCAATGTTCCAGTCAGTCCATTACTCACACTTTTGTGCTGCAAAGGGTAGAAAAAAAGGGACATTTTCATGATAACCATCGGATGGAGAGAATTGAAGGAAGAAGATCTAGAAGAAAGAACCGATGAACTATTCAACAGATGGATTGAGGATTATTTCTTCTACGCAGAGATACTGTCAGATCACAATATGTGTCTTAAAGGGTATTCTACAGAAATCCAGAGGAATAAGTAGCCTTGTACAAATGGCATTCATATTTCATGTCATTAGTTTTGAGGTCAAGCAAAGCTTCAAAGACAAATGGAAATGTAATCTGAGAAGCAATTAATCTGTGCTGGTTGAGTAGATTTCTAAGTGGGACATTGTAACAGGCTACAAAGTGGTGACTACAGTCAGAGAGGCGGAAGCATCAGATCCAATAGAGCACACTTTTAAATTAGTTATTTTATGTGCAATGAGTGGCAATAAGCTGGATACAGTAATAGCTGCCCACTGCTCCTCACATTAGGATGGCTTAAATAAAGAGACTATTTGACCGTGAGCAGCGCTGTGTGCATGTGTGAGATTTCTTTGGATTCTTCCATTTCCACTTCCAATATAATGAGTATCAGAACAGAAAATACAATGTTTGTCATGATACTCTACTCAAAATATGTCAAAATGCATTCCTGTGTCAATGCTTTAGTGTTAAATCAAAAAGTTACAAAATAAATTAAATATAGATATGTTTTGCTGCTCTATCTTCAAACTGCGCTTCATCTACCCTAGTATTACACCCACAGAGTTTTCTTTTGAAGATTACAACACTTTTTTGCAATCTAGCAAAGTAATGAATTATGATTGGTATCCAGTATTTGAAATATACACATACAGGCTATTAGTTAACCTTAATATCTAACATTGATTTAACAAAAGCATGTTTATATAATGCATTGTAATAAAAAATGTACTCTACTGTGTTTTGTTATAGTGTCTTGTTTTGTTCTCACAGACACCTGATGTATTTTTATGGAGTTGTAATAGGCTATTAAAAAAAGTTTCCAAAGAATGCAAATGTACACATGCAGTAAAAAACAGAGCATTATTAGCATTAGTTTGGAACTTTGTTTGTACACCTGATCAAAAGCAGTCCAATTCCAATTGAATTCAAGTTCACCAGCGAGTTTCTAACTGTGGGTCAGAGCCTTTTCACTGAAACAGCTGCTCCCTGAAACTAGGTTCACAAAGGAAAGTGGATCAAAACAGTGAAGTAATAATGAGTTGAAGTACGCAAAATGCTCCTCAGAGCAGAGGTAACTGCTGGCTTGGTGACAACTCTCTGTTGCTTTGTTACTATCAACAACCCCTTTTCCATTACACTTATTGAGCCATTGTTAACAATAACACTATTGATTATAACTTCTTCAACTTACTTTGTAGAGAAAAAAGGGTTATTGTGATACAATGTATTACTTTATTTATTTATAGAAACGTTTTAACTTAGAAGGAGTTAAGAAATTGACAGGTGTGAAATATTCCCTTAGGCTTTTTTTATTTTAGATTGAAAACATGAAAGGTTGAAGTATATGAAAATATACTGGTGGATTAATTATGCATGGGAAGCCGTCCTTTTCTAAGCATTAATTTCCCATAACATAAGCTACATTTGTCCAGATGATGCTATAGGTATAGTAGTCATTGGTCCTGTATCCACCCGTTAGTGTTTAGACATGACCTTAAGGACACGCACAGTGGCAGATGGATGGATGGATGGAATAGTACCTTAAGGGACACATAAATTAACATCACGGGATATTTTTTTAAAACATGTAGCAACAGTTTGCTGTTGCCGTGAACTTACCAACCTCTGCAGCCATCACAGTGATGTTATGCCACGCGGTCTCCTCCCGGTCCAGAACCTGAGAAGTCCTGATGATGCCACTGTTCACCCCGATATTGAAATACAAAGGTCTTTCCTCTTCATTTTCTATGAAGTACCTGCAATACAAAATGACATAAAGAGGAAACAAATCCATTAACAATATTTGAATATTTTAAATGTGGCCAATGATGATAAATGTGAATTTTTAGAGCACATTAAGTAAACCAGAAATGTATTGATGGTGGTTTGAAGCAGTGTATTTTTGAAGTGCAATGCACAAACTAGAAATGTACTTTCCCTTACAAAAGCTTTGACAATACAACAATATATTATAACAAAACTTCACTATATTTTTAAGCCTTTGAAACTACCTGAGAATACTATGAAAGGTTACATTCAATAGCCGCGTTCACACCAAGTACTTTCCTGTACTTAGTTCCGGCACTAAGAGCCCTGGCGCTTTTAACCCCAGGGTACTTAGTACAGATCGCGTTCACACCGGAGTACTTTTCCCTGAGGGAAGATTACAAGTACAGTAGGTGGCGGTAAGCACCTTAAAGTTGTTTGCAACCCGCTACAAAACAAGAGAAGAAGAAAAACTGATACAGGATCTGTTTAATCGCCATGTCGGTTTTCTTTATTGCACTCTCAAGACATAACATTAAATAGAAATATTTTAAATGTAACTAAAGTGTCAGTTGTACATGTCAGTAAACATTGTCAATATAAAATAAAGTGTCAGTTGTACTATATAATAACAGTAATAACAATATAAAATAAACTCCCAGCTGTAGGGAGTCTCAGCAGCAAACCCACCTTTATTATATATCTTCCTGAGACCCACTGCATCCGTCTGCCATAAACACTATGCAAACATACATGTTAGTTTTGGCCCATAGTGGACTCCATGTTGTGTTGTGTGAAATGGGGGGAATTAAAAGTTTAGGTCAAATAATATTTAAAATTATATAAATTGTCATATTTGTGTATGTGCCCCTGCCATTCCCCCACAAGGTTGCAACATTGATGATAAATAAATGACAAATAAAGCTTTGCCAGTTTATAACCGATGAAACATGATGGTATCAGAATAATCACTTACATGTGATGTATAGGATGCTACACAGGTCACAAAAGATAAAGTGTCAGGAGAAATAAGCTTAATCGCCATGTCGGTTTTCTTTATTGCACTCTCAAGACATAACATTAAATAGAACAATTTTAAATGTAAATAAAGTGTCAGTTGTACATGTCAGTAAACATTATATATAAAATAAAGTCATAACAGTAATAACAATATAAAATAAACTGTCCCAGGTGTAGGGATATTCCCAGCAGCATGCACACCTTAGTGCAACGTTGTGTGTCGTGTGTCAGTATTTACAAAAACTATACCAAATAAACTGTTATTAAATGCAGTTTGTCGCTCATCCTGCCGCTGCGCCGACGCTTCCTCATGGCGCAGCGCCCACACTTCATCCTGGTGCTGCTAGCGCTCCATCTGCTGCCTGGCGCTCCATCGAGGTGAGCATCTTGTCCTCCGTTTCCTGGGCCTTGGTGAACAGCACCATCTGATCTCCACGCAGCGACTCATTCACCACGGCACGCCGGTCCTCCAACGCCTGGGCGGTGTCAAAGAAATTCGCATCCCGTGTCCGCTTTCCTAAGAGGGGAAAATAAGCAATATACAATATACAAGTTTAGTCGCCATGTAGTTTTACAACATACTAGGAATGTGTTTTTTGTATTTTCACAAATAGAATTAAGGTTTCACAAATCTGAAACTGTGTTATAAAGAATCTTTTGACTCTCTGGGATAATCCAGTCCAGATTTGATGAGTCTAGGTATAGTGGTTTTAGATCAGGACCTGGTCTAATGTGGTCTACATGTAAAAAAAGCACTGAAATCTCCCTTTTTTGTATTTTCACAAATAGAATTAAGGTTTCACAAATCTGAAACTGTGTTATAAAGAATGTTTAGCCTCTCTGGGATAATCCAGTCCAAATAAATCGGCTATGCAGCGATTTAAGAGGTTCAAACACGGAGGATTGTTCCTTTTTGAAGAGTGCTTCATGTATGCTTGAACTTTGTTTAATGTTGTTGAGGCAAGTTAAACATAAAATATGATGAATATTATGAAATAAACATGATTGTGAACATCAGTTCGATGCGTAACGTTCTTTCAAGACAAAGTTACAGTGTGTGTACCTTTGCGTTTGGTTGCTGGTAAGGAGGACGACAAAGCGCTGTGATCTAGAATGCAAAGCTCACTTGTTTCCAATCCCGAGAGTTGTCCATCCTCGCCTGAAACAGACGATTAGTGCCATGAGTTAGTGAAGCAAATTACAGAAACACTGCACAGTTATTCACAAGTCAAAACGTTTTCATACAGCGGAGAATATCTAGCTAGCTAGATGTAGCTAGCCGGGGCCGGTGTTAGCCTATTATGGCTAGCATGGCTAGCTTGATCTACTGAGCAAATAAAAGTACATCTGAGACCATTATTGTGCAGATTAAAACCCCAGTGCATGTAGTTGATTTTACCTTCATCGTGGTAGTCATCGTTGGCCACTGAATCCGCCGTTTGTAGTCCTGAGTTTCTTTATATTTAGCCGGCTGTGCACAATTCCCAGGTCGAGTGAAAGCTACCGAACTGGCTTCAGTAGCATTCCCTGGGTCGCCTCCTCGGCGTAGATCTCCAGAAGCGCCGACACCTCCTCATCATTTCTTGATGCTTGCCATAACTGCTTTCAAAAACAAACACAACGCACGGAGCGTTGTGTTTTTGTAGCGAGGAAAAACAATGGCGTCTCCACACAACATTTTCAGAGTTGTACGGGCGTGGTTTGCAATTCGCCCAGCCAATCAGCACTGGGGAACTTTTGGAGCACTTTTCACCCACAGAAAAGTACGCTCTCTGAGCTGGCTCTAAAAATGGGGGTAAAAGTACCCGAGATTAAGTACGATTTTTGGTGTGAACGCGACATAAGGGGTACTCACGGAACTAAAACGCGAAAAGTACGGTGAAAGTACTCCGGTGTGAACGCGGCTAATATGTACTAGTTGCACAATTTTTTGTTCAATATAGTGATTTTCAAAGAAACTGCCAGAAAATGTATCAAAGAACTATACTGTAGAAAGTAAGACATGGAAATCAACAGAAACCTTGATTCCCTCCAGCATGTTTTCAGAAGTAAATTCTCTGCTTAGAAAATAATTAGTGTCTGATTTGTTTTTTTATCAACTCATTAAAAATGGCAGATTCTTCTTCTTCATTGAAAGACTTTGAAAAAGGGCCAACTGTGGAAATCAAAAAGCATACAGGCAGAAAGATCCATTAATTAACTTTATACTTCAACCCTTAAATTGGCAAGTAATCTGTTTCAATGTTGTTACTGCCTGATAGAAATGAATGGATGAATGGATGGATGGATGGATGAATGGCGTGTGACTGGGTTGATGGATGGATTGATGAAAAGATAGGAGGGCGGATGTTGTATGGACGAATCGATGAATGGATGTTGGATGGATGGAGTGTGGCTGGGGGGATAAATGGGGGATTGATGGATATATGATGGATAGATGGCTGGATGATTCGATGGCTGCGGAATGGATGGATGGATAACACGATGGATGGATGGATGGATTGGGATGGATGGATGTTGGATGGATGGATTGGGATGGATGGATGTTGGATGGATGGATTGGGATGGATGGATTGGGATGGATGGATTGGGATGGATGGATGTTGGATGGATGGATTGGGATGGATGGATGTTGGATGGATGGATTGGGATGGATGGATGTTGGATGGATGGATTGGGATGGATGGATGTTGGATGGATGGATTGGGATGGATGGATGTTGGATGGATGGATGTTGGATGGATGGATTGGGATGGATGGATGTTGGATGGATGGATTGGGATGGATGGATGTTGGATGGATGGATTGGGATGGATGGATGTTGGATGGATGGATTGGGATGGATGGATTGGGATGGATGGATGTTGGATGGATGGATGGATGTTGGATGGATGGATTGGGATGGATGGATGTTGGATGGATGGATTGGGATGGATGGATGTTGGATGGATGGATTGGGATGGATGGATGTTGGATGGACAAATCGATCAATGGATGGATGGATTGAGTGGGACTGGGTTGATAAATGGGGGATGGATAGATGTTGGATGGATGGATGGGTGGATCAATGGATGAGTTGATGGATAGATGGATGGTTGATGGATGGAGGGTGGATCCAGTGGCTCATCTGGATAGACATTTTGCAAAGCAGTTGAATTCCTCAGTGGATCTGCCGGTTGAGACAAAACTATAAAATCTATTCGCCTGTAGGGACACCTGAACGCCAAATACTTCCATGATAAACAACTACACACACACACAACACATCATTTCCTTTACCGGATAGCACTGTTGGTGCTATCAGGGTCCACAGCGGTGACAATGCCAACTTGGGTGCCGACAGCTGAGTTTTCATACGTGTCCATGATGTAGTAGTCCATGGAGAAGACAGGAGGCTCATCCACGTCACCCACAATGACTCGCAGCGTGGTGGAATCCTTAAATGGCCCCAGGTGGGAGAAACGGGCATCTGGATGAGTGTTGGAACCTTCGATGTTGAGTGTGTGAACTTTTCTCTTCTCATAGTTCAAAGGCTGGGGAGGAGACAGAAAGCACAATAAGCCGCATTTCAACGATGATCACCTTAATCCTGACAATGTCATATACTGTTAATGTCATAATAGTTATCATAGAGTAATGTGACCCACCCCTTTACTCAGGTGAAGTGAATGGGAAGCTAAAATAATTCTCACACAGGGCCTGCCAGGGAACATTAGAGGAAACGTTGACATCTGTTGAAAGGTTAAATAAACCGAGTTGATTGACTAATAAACAGTAAAAAGACCTCTGATCTTCAGAAGAATTGGGGTGGGGGTTTAGTGTGATAGTCAAAGTGAAATGAGATTCAGTCGCTCTGTTAGGAATGTGACACAATGACTGGGAATCAAATGCCAACAATTTGACACAAAAGTACAAAGACAAAAGTACTTTTACTATATATAGGAAAAAAAAGAAAAGAAAATCACTCTTGGCAAAGGCCAAAAACACAAGACTATGTAAACGTGACTTTTGGTACAAACAAAATAGAACGTGGCTCGAAAAACCGCGAAAAAAGACGAATGGAAGACGACGAACTGGCATAGGAATAAGAGAGACCAGGACTATTTATAGAAGAGTTATCTGGACACAAGTGGCAACAATCAAGGGTGTGACAGACAATCACACTGGTGAGAAAACACTTAATGGCAGGGAGTCAAGGGCTCTGAAACGATAAAGAAGGGTAAGTACAAAATAAAACAGGAAGTGCAATGACATACTCAAAGTGAAACAGACATGGCTCCTTTTAAATTAACCATTGAATCTATAAAGAGTGGCTATGAGATATATAGTAGATCATCCACCATCAGGGTCGTTGTATCCTTAGACAAGACACTGCACCTTAAATCACTCTTGATGGAGTGGCACGCACCTTGCAGGGTAGATAGCTGTCATCAGGATGTGTGTGTGTGTGTGTGGGTATGTGTGTGTGTGTGTGTGTGTGTGTGTGTGTGTGTGTGTGTATGTGTGTCTCTGTGTGTGTCTCTGTGTGTGTCTGTGTGAGTGTTTGTGTGTGTGTAAATGGGAGATTTAGAGGCAATTTACAGTTCATAGTCTTTGCGTTCATATAGAGTGGTGCAGGAATGAGTCCTTAAACCAGGAAATGAGTTAGCATTTTACCTCAACGTTTTTTTGAACGTGTTTGAAGGCCTGAAATACGGTCTGTGGTTAATACAAGCTGAAGAGACTTTCATGTTTTGTTCTACGACATAAAATACGTCAGCACCATTCTATTGGAGTACTACATGTTGTTGTAGTGCATTTTCCATTGAAATGTCCAGATGGCTACCCTACAATAACACTATCTCAGCAATAAATGCCTCAGAACACCAATTGATTATTCATAACAAAAAGGTTGGACACCCCCAGAATACAATGTGTTACAAAATGCTGACAAAAGACAACTTCAAACTGTGGGGGAACAAAGAACAATAATTATGGACCCCCCTTGTGTAGAGAGCTTTCCTCTGTTCTCGTGTTTCTAAGTGGCTGTAAAAGAGAAAAAATGAAAAATGAAAAACACTTTAAACTCTGACCCCAGTAATGCTCTCTCCTGCTGAGCACAGGCTTCCCTGCTGTAGATCAAAGGCTGCAGGGGGAAATTAGACACACTCGACCGTAGAATTTCAGCTTGGCTAAAGCTAGGAGTACTGGCCATGCATGCTGGACTTTTTTTAAGGATTATTTGTGCTTGGCTTTTCTGCCTTATTCTGATATATACAGAAAATGGCAAGGGTAAGAGAAAGGGGGTGACAAAGGGCCAGGGTCTGATTTGAATCCACGGCTGTAGCAGCAAGGACTCAGTCTTAATGATACACTCTATACCTGGTGAGCTAACAGGGAGCTCCTTTTCCTGAACAGTTCATTATGCAGGTTTCAAAAGATTAAGAAAAACCGTTGAGCTGTGAAGGGAATATCATTTTGTGCCGCTTTGCGCCTGATAAAGCTGGTGCTGGTGCCTCTAATGAAAGGGTTCTCAAAATGTCTCTGGGAGACAGCCTTGAACTGAGAAATATAAACCTTGACAGAGAGGTGCAGCTTCTTTTCTCACTATTATTCAATCAAGAGACGCAGAATAAAACTAAAACTCCTGATAGTAGTAAAGTTTATTTTGTTATATGAAATGTTGCTATGTGGAGCGCAGGACCTGTGAAAGTGGCGCATGAAGCCAAAAAATGGAACTTCCCAAAATAAAATGACCTGCACCTTGCAATGATCTGCCAACGTTAAGGGCCATAAAGCAAGCACACAAGGATATCAATCTGAATTCTGTTATCAGTGCATTTAATAACTTTTAGGACCTAATGGGGAAAAAAAGATGGGAAGTTGAAGGTTTTTCTGACTTAAACACCTGAGAGGACCCAATTATGTTTGTGTATTTCATAAATCACGCTGTTAAATAATAGTTCCGTGCAAAAGGTTACATCATATGTAAATGTTTTACTGTATACAGTATGTAATTAATTATTATTATTATCATTATTGTAGGTTTTCAGGAACTGTAGCAAAAACCAAGCCAACCATATTTATTATTTAGTTGTCCAAGAGATGTTCTAAACCAGGCATGGGCAAACTAAGGCCCGCGGGCCATATACAAATATTGCCCAAATTATAGTAAAGACTGCATTCATTTAGCCTTTTTCCTGCAATACCCGGCATTTCAGTTGATCCCACTAGATGGCACACTCTAGACACAATTGACCTTTGCTGGAGTCGGCAACCCGGCAAGATCTAAGAACCAAATACGTCACGCTTACATTGGAGGGCGGCGAGATTAACCTGAGCAATAAAAGTTCATGGCGAGTACAGCGAATACAAGTTGTAACAAGCAGTAGCGCTGAGCAAACGCGACCACACACTTATTAAAAACACTTATATAAAGTCAGGCAACACTAACCAGGCCTGGTTAGTGTGATTCTGTTTATTTTACCTTACTTTAATGACCATTCAATGTTATTGACCATTGTGAAGAGCAGGCAGACGTTTTCCTGTTGTTTTGTATTATTGCAGCTATCGGATGGAATCAATACATGGGCTACATGTGGCCATCACAAGTAAAATCATAACGAAAACTACGCCGGTAAAATATGCGTGTAGAAAATGGCTTATGCCACAATATGATAGCAACAAGTAGTCAAGATAGTCTGATTAGCTTTGGTTGCTATGCTAACATCACCTGTAGAATGCCAGAGAAACTTTCATAACAGCGTCAATTCAGACTGAAACACATTCACTGATGGGGATGGGGGATATTTATCAGCTGCTTGTGTGACAGTCAGACAGTGAAAACTTTACAGCGGCCGCTGCCACGAGTTAACAGTAGAATAAACTCCGGTGGACGAGCAGCACTCGGTAAATGCCGCTGAAACACATTAATAAACAATGCACCACGGCACTCTGGAGAAAAGTATAAGGTTGGAGAAGTCGTTCTTTAATTTAATCTGGCTTCGTATGATTAAAAACTACCCGACGGAGTCCTCTATTGATGTTGTTGTGAGTGGTGTTGCGGAGAAAATCAGCGACGCAAAACGCTGTGTGGGTCATAAGAAGGCACGTAAATGGTTACGTCATGACGCAAACGATGACGCAATGACGCAATAATTCACCTTTGAACCTAATTCACCTTTGAACCTGCATCTGTAACAATGAGTGGACCAAAGAAAAGAAAAGTCGACATTGAGTGCAGAGTGTTTAATGAGGAGTGGACAGCTAAATATTTTTTCCCCGATCTGCTAATGGCCGGCCCGAGCAAAAAAGTTTGCCCACCCCTGTTCTAAACCATGGCTAGGAAAAGTCATGTCAGTTCCTGTTTCAGCCAGAGAGAGGGGAGTTGGTCCTAAAGCTTGCCGCTGTATTTAAACCCTCCACCTGAAAGAAGGAGCCACATTCAGCAGAGAGTGAGACTACAGATGGAGTGTGTAGGGGTCGCTATGCAATCAAGTCTGATCCAACCAAACATTTCAAGACATAGGGTTCCATTCTGAAATCCCTTGAAAAATACACATTTGAGTCTTTGAAGGACATCAATGATAAATTGAAGAACCGGTCAAACTTGGCTGCCATTGTAAAATAATAAATTAAAGGGGACCTATTATGCAAAATGCACTTTTTGATGTCTTTTATACATAAATATGTGTCCCCGGTGTGTCAGGGAACCCACATCTCTAAAAAACAAAAAATACTTGGGTGCTAACGAGCAGATCCAGAATTTTCGCTCCTATTACGTCATTCGACATCCGGCACACGTGACACGTCCCAATTTATCGTCTCCGGCACACGTGACACGTCCCAACCTATCGTCTCTGTATACACTTAGAGTAAAGTTGTTATATATAATACACATAATGTCACTGTTCTAGCGGTAAACACTTAAGAAAGAACATGTCAAGCTATGTGCTGTATCAGAAACAATGCGCTGCGTGTTTTGGGAGTAATATGCTCTGTGTTTACAGTAGCAAGCATGCTAACACTCAGAGCTAACGATGTAGGCTACTGGAGAGAATATGTGTAACGTAATGCCCTTGTGGTAAACCCTGTGGGAGAGAAAGGTTTGAGCTCCATACTGTTTCAGAAATAATGGTTGAAGTGGTTGGGAACATAATATGGCGTTTCATCACGGCAGCTGAGTTTCTCCCGGTAGAAAACTCTCTTAGCAGGGGAAAGCGGCGTGACGCTACAAAGGGGCGTGGCTAGCAGCAGCCGTTCCATTTAAAGCAGAATCAGGCTTTTTGGAACAGGGCTGGGATCAGTGGTGGCGCCAGGGTATGGCTGGGGTAGGCTACAGCCATACCAAGAAATGGCTTAGCCCCACCTTAGCCCCACCTTAGCCCAGAGACGGGGCGTTACTAAAAAAAAGTAATATATTACATATTATATATTACTATAAAAAAAAGTAATATATTACACTACATAAAGTAACTCGTTACTTTACTCATTACTTTACTCGCAGGGCCGGCCCGCCCCTCCCTACAGGCAGATCACGCAGACTGCTAAAGTT